CGAGGAGAAGAGGCAGAGGCAGGAGGAGGAGGAGGAGGAGGAGGCAGGAGGAGGAGGAGGCAGGAGGAGGCAGGAGGAGGAGGCAGGAGGAGGAGGTGGAGGAGGAGGAGGAGGAGGAGGAGGAGGAGGAGGAGGAGGAGGAGGAGGAGGAGAGGCAGGTGCAGGAGGAGGAAGAGGAAAGGTCAGACAAATACTTCCTGACTCCCTCCAACTACCGTGATGAGGGGCGACTTTGTCGAGGAGGAACTCGTACAGGTGGAAGGAGTTACTGACCACCTCCTCCTCGCTCTCCTCGGCCCCAGTCTCTAGAAAGTCCTCGGAGTTGAACCTGATCGCCTTCCTCTTGCTCCCGCTCGCAGCCATCGCATCCTCGTCCTCACCGTGATCTCCATCGATGCTGCAGGAGTGAGGGGAGGAGGGGAGGGATCAGAATTGTTGAGCTAGGAAGGAGCATTTACCTCCTCCTCTCCTCCTGCTGTCCTCCTTTGGTAGTTTTCACCTGCCCCACGGTAAGTTATGTCACCTTTCTCCTCTTCACTCCTCTTCCTACCAGGATGCCACGAGCTTTACTTGCTGCTCCTGCTCCTGCTCCTCCTGCTTCGCCATCTGCCTGTCTGTTCCTCATGCTTTGGGCAGGTGTCAGGCCATCGCAAAACGGAGGGGAAAGGCTTGCCTGCCGGGGTTCAGCTCGAAGGCCCAGAGGAGGGAGGAAGAGACGGAGGAGGAGGAAGGCGACGCAGGTTCACTCCGAATGCTGCGAGAGAGGATGAGGATGAAGGAAGTAGCAAGGAGGGGAAAGGATACAGCGACTGCGGGAAGGAGGAGGAGAAGTCATCATCGGACGGAGTGAGCTCTGGCGAACTGGAAAGAAAATGTGAATGAGGAGCGAAGAAAGGTGGGCGGACGATAAAGGGAGAGTAAAGATTGAGACCTAATGGGGGAGGCCATGCAGGAGAGGAGAGGAAGGTGAAGAGGGAGAGAGCACGGGAGAACGGGATAGGAGGGAGGAGCAGCAAACGAGGGTCGAGCTCTAGAGCATCGTGAAGCACCTGGGAAAACTTCTTGGGCGGCTGGTGGGGTGATGAAAGTTACCGACGCGAAGTTTCCATGTTGAGTTTTCAGATTGCTGGAAGAAAAGATCAGGATGAGCAAGGGGAGAAGAAATAACAGGAGAGAGAGGGAGAGGCAACTAGGATGAAGGAGAGGGGAGAGGAGAGGGGAGAGGAGAGGGGAGAGGAAGACGAGAGAGGGGAGAATGAAATGAGAGACTGTTATGGTCAGGTAGATATGAGGGGAGAACATAGAGACCTTGACAAGAACAGCTCTCAGTTGAGCTCTGGTGGACTCAAAAGCAAAATTCACTCCCTCAGCGGACCGCCTTTCAGCCTGAAACATTCTCCTCCACTCTTTATCCAGCGTCTCTCCTGCTACTGCTCCCTCTCCTGCTCCTGCTCCTGCTCCTGGTCCTCCGAACTTCTCATCCAGCAAGCTTGACGCGATATCTACCGCACACTTCACGTCCATCCCAAGTAAAACAAGCTGCTGTCTGTAAAACTTCTCCACCTCCTCCACTCGACCCCTTGCCCCTTTCTCCCCTTCCACGGCATGGTCTAGCTGCACATCGCTCCTCTCCAGCTGTCTTTGCAGCGACAAGAGAGATGCCTCCAAGTTTCGCATGTCCTCCTCTTGCTTCCCTATCTTCTTCTTCAACCCCAGGTTCTCCTCCTCCAATGTCGAGCACCACTTCTTGCTCTCCCTCGCCTCCACCAGCGCCTTGTGCTGCTGGCTCCTCAGCTGTGTCAGCTGAGCTTGTAAGGAGGAGAAATCCTTCGCCCTCTCTGCCATCTTCTGGTAGCACAGAACAACCTCCTGATGCTTCTCTCCAAGAAGGATCTCAGACGTGTAGAGCTTCTGATGGAGCTCTAGAACATGCCGGGCAACGCTCCTCCTGGCCTTGCGCATCGCCATCTCCTCCACTGGGTCGAGGCTGGCTTCCCCCATCCCACTCGGGTCTTGCTCGTCTCGTGGAGTCTCCTCGCTTTCCGACCTCTCCACCCTCGTCGAGATCGTGCCGTAGCAGGCATTAGCAACCAGCTCTCGGAACTCGTTCAGCAGCCTCTGCATCCTCGACAGCTCAAAGTCTCCATCCTGGACGATCAGGGTGCGACAGACGAACGCGGCGAAGCAGGACTCCATGTCCGCAACCCGAAGCTCGTCGCGCTTCCCCTCCTCATTCGCCTCCTCCTTCCTGTCTGCGGCTTCTCCCCGGACCTTGAGAGACCTTGCGATCACCTCCTCGATCGCGCTGATCATGAGAGGGTCGACAGCTCGGTGAGGGGAAGACCTCGATGACTGCAGCATAGCATGTAGCGCATCTCCCAGCTGACTCCTCAGGTGGGGGGCTACAGGAGTGTCCGATAGCAACCCGCTGAGATCGCCGCCATGTAGGGAGGACGATGCGGCTGCCGTCAGTGTCTGCCGCTCTAGCGCGATCTTGGCGCTTCTGACATGCCAGAGATCCTCCTGCAACCTTCGGCATTCCGAGGTGATGGAAGAGATGGAGCGCTCGTATGCATTTCTCGAGCGCAACTGATCTAGAACGCAGCTAGCCCAGGTCATATCGTAGGGACAGAAGGGCTTGCCCTGTGTGAAACTTACCAGCAGCGGAACCTCCTCGGCATGATCTGAATGCCATGATCGTATCAAAAGAGTGGAGATAGGGTCTACGAGTAGTTGCGGATGTAGGAGGAAGACGAGGTGAAACAGAGGGGTGGTGGAACGGCGCACAAACAGGAGCCAACGGTTGGAAAGAGAAGAAGAGGCGCATGAGGAGGAGGAGCAGTAGCAGGAAGAGGAGGAGGAGGAGGAGGAGGAGGAGGAGGAGGAGGAGGAGGAGGAGGAGGAGGAGGAGAAGGAGGAGGACGAGAAGGAGGGGGAGGGGGAGGAGGAGGAGGAGGAGGTGGTGGTGGTGGTGTAGGAGGAGGAGCGCACCTGTGTGGTGTTCTTGGCGCTTTGCCTTCTGGAGGCAACCATTGCGATAAATGAGGCCGTGTGGGCAGCTTGTTAGTCTTAATCCATTAACTAGTCCGACATCAACTTCGGAAAAGGGCAGCGAATTGAGAATGAGGGCGAAGAATATGCCGGGTCGGCCGGAAGTATACTGAGAGGAGACCCGACGGTCCTGGTATGGAGGGATGGCTGGTGTACCTGAGCTCGTACGCGCTATGTGTGGCGCTGGGGCTTGCATGGCTTCACAGGGATGCGATTCATGGCCTGTTGACAGACCTCTCAATGCACAGTGACTGGAGTTTGCGATGATGTTGCGGTTTCTACCTGTCCTCACACAAGGACGTCTTGGTGATATGTTCATCCCTGCTACCCTCTCAGCGTTGCGTTAACATGCGATGGCGGAAGATGAAGATCGCTTCTCCTCTGATTCTGCTCCAACTAGCAATTGAGGGAGCGTTCACACCGACAACCATTGATAACAACAGACTCGCTGTCCTCGCCCTGCGGGGAGGCGGCGATGTATCAGGCCGGCCGATGCTGCAATCGAAAAACCAAGTTTGTGATCTGTGTACCTTTGAGGAACTCAAGAAGCCAGTGAAGAGAGGCAAGGAGAAGAGCAAGTATTCATCGGACATGTTGCAGAGGAGGATTTTGGACGACTTTTACCTCATGGATTTCGTCAGATTTCAGGACCCTGAAAGTCCGCTCGACAGGATTTCTTCGGATAGGAATGGAAAGAAAGGTTGCCAGACATTCTCCAACTTGGCGGATGCAACAAAGTTCTTATCACAGAGAGATGACCCGAAGAACATGGTGAGAGGAGAGGGAGATCCAATCACGTTTGTAATCAAGGCTGGGCAGATGTTTGCGAGGGAGGTTAACGTAAATGGAGCCAGAGTCTTTATGGTTGGGAGTTTCGATGAGTTCTGGGAACTTTATCTGAATTATCCTCACACAAGGTCGGAATGCAAGGATCGAGTTTCAGATTTGCTGTTGTTGACGGGCCTTGCAGGCACTTTTACGAGGTTATCTTGGAAAACAGTCCATGCAAGCTGTACATGGATCTTGAGTTCAAGATGAGCGGGAACGAATCTTTTGTGATGAAACAAAACTGATCCAGAGATAATGTAGTGACAGAAACTTTTCAGGAAGAGAGCTGTAGTCGAGGGAATCAACTGGTCGAAGAGATCAAGTCGAACATTGTGGAAGTCGGCAGGAAGTTGTACAACAGAGAGGTGTGAGAGGGTTTCAATAGAATGTCGATTGATATGATCGATCTCTACAGATATGTGAGAAGAGAGATTTTCTAGAGCTCGACTCAACAACAAGAGAAAAGTTCTCGAGACATCTGATCTCCGGGAATCTCTGCTTTCAAAACAACATCCAACTTGGGTCTTTCATACAAATCCTCTCGAAGCAGGTTGAGGACAATGATAAGTTGAGATCGCTCAATGACAGCGATGTTTGCAGTTGCAAGACGACGCAAAAAATCTCATCGACATGGGGGTTTACTCGCGAAATCGTTGCTTCCGTTTATTGTACAGGTATACCAGTGCTAGTGATTTTGATATTCAGGCTGACGGCGGGTTGAATCTGCAGTACCAAGTTTGGAAGGAACAACTCGTTTGGTTTTTCTGATCGCTGTCTAGAAGACGTCTTCAACAATCAGACGAGATTGAACGATTTCGATTGGATGTCAAGGAGCAACAACCCGGACTGCAGGAAAGCTTTCTTGACGAGCATGGCGAGCATTGTGCCGGACAATGAGGAAGTTTTGCACGTTGATGAGGTGATCTTTCTCTAGCTTTTTGCTCGTTGACATTTCCTTTCTAAGAACATGTTGAGGGATCTCCTGAACAGCTCGAGCCTCGAAAGGAAGTTTCTTCACGACAAGGATGAAGTCTGGAACTTCAAAGTCGGCGGAGGAGGACCAGGAGGAGGAAGGGGAGGGGGAGCAAACAGCCTTCCAACGAGTTTGAAGCCTCTGGGAAAGTTGGTGATGACAAAGTTGGAGAGAGCGATAGAGGTTGAATGGTTTGTTGTCTTCACAGGTTTGCGAGAAGATCCGTCCAGGAGCTGTAATCAAGTGGTGGAAGTGAAATGGAATTTGTTCTTGTGAACACCTTGTGACTCTCCGGTCGACAGGAGGAATGATGGTTATGTGATCTTCAGCCTTCAGGGAAACAGGTGTGTAGGCTGTGATGTTGAGACTTGTTGTGTTTGTTCCTTCTCAGATGTTTTTGTAGACTCAACGCTTCTTGCTCTTGTTGATGTTGTGACTTGCTTGTTCTCTCTCCTTCGCTCAGATACTGTGAAAACATCCAGCGGCAGCACAAGGCCAACGGCATCGTCATCGTTGTTCACCTCGAGAGGTCTTCCTCCTCAAGACTTCGAGTCAGAACTGACAACCAGAGCAGCGGGACCTGGTGGCAGAAGTGCCAAGACCCGGAGTGCAGGTCGATCAATTTCAGAAGGTGAGAAAGAGAAGATGGAGAAGGCGGAGATGTTTCCTTGTAACTCTCGTCTACCTCGCAAGTCCCAAGTATTCTATCGAGCCTGCCGTGCTACAGGTTGTCTTGGCAGCTGAGAGGCGATACGATTATTCCTCGTCCTCGCCTTCGGAGTAAGACCTGAATGCGGTCACCGTGTTGTAAGATAGTTATCACCTTTATGAGCTCTACGAGCAGTCGTTGTCTCATCTTGACATCAACCATCCTATCACTTCTCTATCACCTTTTTCTTCTTCGTCCTCTTCCTCTTCCTCGTCTTCACCGTCGTAATCCATCTTCTCCCTCTCTTCCCGTCTTCCCCCTCCTCCTCCTCCTCCCTCCTCCTCCTATCTCGCTCTCCTCCTCCACCACCACCACCACCTCCTCCTCCTCATTCTAACTCGCTCTGTCCCTCTCTCCTCCTCCTCCTCCTTCTCCTCCTGACTCGCTCCTCCTCCTCCTCCTCTTTTTCTTCTTCCTGCATTTTCGCTAATGTGTGACTTGCGTTCTCTCCTAAGAAAACCCAAGCTACCTTTCTCGAGGCACCCTGGGGTGGGTACTCTTGAATGTAGGGTCCTGCCCAGATAGGGTACTATATTTCTATTCCAGTAGTAGGGTAGGCGACAAGTTTCATCAGAAGAGTATGGGTGGGTACAGCATATTGTCAGAAAACACAAGGGGGGTGGTACTTTGATAGGGGTAGGGGTAGTGCTCGCATACGAGAACTCCTCTTAGAGAGATCTGATGGAGGACTAGAAACAAGTGAGAGCAGCAGCAGGAGCAGCAGCAGGAGCAGGAGCAGGAGCAGGAGCAGGAGCAGGAGCAGGAGCAGGAGCAGGAGCAGGAGCAGGAGCAGGAGCAGGAGCAGGAGCAGGAGAAGCAGAAGCAGAAGCAGAAGCAGAAGCAGGAGAAGCAGGAGCAGAATAGGGCAAGACGGTGTGGAGGAGGAAGGGTGGAGGGGATGGGGAGAGGGGAGAAGCAGGAGTTCTAGAGACTAGGTAGAAGAAGAGGAGCTGATACGAAAGAGGATGGAGAAGTCCATCGGGTGAATGCGGGCAAAGCTATGCCCGCATTCAAGAGAGGAGAGGAGAGGAGAGGAGAGGAGAGGAGAGGAGAGGAGAGGAGAGGAGAGGAGGGGAGGGGAGGGGAAGGGAGAAAGAGATTCCAACGACCAAGGATGCTAACTCTGTATGTTTCTGTTGAAAGGACAACGGAGGACAACAGAGATGGATTACCTTTCCCAAGTTGTTCGGAAGACTTTCTCGTGCGAGGGAGTCTTCACAACAACCCAAGACGTGTACTAGACCTTTCGTCTGCACCAACGAGATAGAGAGAGGGCCGGAGGACAGACAAGCAGGCAGACAGAAGCAGTAGGAGAGAGAGAGCGAGCGAGCGAGAGAGAGCGAGAGAGAGAGAGAGGAATTTGAGATGCGATCCAAGACAAACCTCTCCTCCAGCCGACATTATTCCGAGAACGCCGAGTTGGAATCCTGTACAGTTGTGGAGATGGAGACGGACGAGCCTCGAGTGGAGAAGGCGACGAAAGAGGAGAGGACGAGGCAGGGAAAGGAGAGCCAGCAAACTCCTGCACAGCGGAAATTGAAGACCAAGAGCCAGTATAGTGGAAAGAAAGCAAGCGAGCTCAGGAAAGCTCTTGTTACTTGCGCGTCCATCGTGACGGAGCTGATGAAACATGACCTTGCGGGACCCTTCAGTCGTCCGGTGGATCCTGAGAAAGACGAGGTGAGAGCGAGGAAAGAGATGATGATTGAGAGGATGATGGAGGGGAGGAGGAGGAGGATGGTGAAAATGATGATGTGGATGATGGAGATGATGATGGGATGATGATGATGATGATGATGATGATGATGATGATGATGATGATGGGATGATGATGATGATGATGAGATGATGATGATGATGATGATGATGATGATGATGATGATGATGATGATGATGGAGATGATGATGATGATGATGATGATGATGGGGATGATGATGATGATGATGATGATGATGATGATGGAGATGATGAGGATGATGATGATGATGATGATGATGACGAGGAGGAGGAGGATGATGATCGGGATGATGATGGAGATGATGGGGATGATGATGATGGGGATGATGACAATGGAGATGATGATGGTGGTGGTGATGGTGTTGAGGAATGTGCTTTGGAGCATCTTAGCAATGGAGATCATGAGGTTTGCAGGCACCGACGTACTACGCCGTGATCGAGACTCCCATGGATCTTGGAACAATCATGCAAAAGTACAAAGGTGATGAAAGATGTTGATGCGAGTCATGATGCCTATGAATGTGATGGATGATGAAGAAGATGGCAATGATGAGGATGTTGTTTTGTTGTTGTCAATGATGATAATGATGGAGATGACGATGGAGATGCTGATGACGATGATAGAGATGCTGCTGATGCTGATCTTGACGATGATGGAGATATTTCTGTTGTTGATGATGATGGAGGTGAAGTTTTCATCGCTGACAAATTACTTGAAGACGGTCAGTACAGCAATGCGCAAGAGATGCGAGAAGACGTTGCCTTGGTGTGGTGGAATTGCAAGCAGTACAACGGAGAGGGAAACTTTCTCATGCAGTCAGCAAAGATTCTATCTCAGAAGTTCGACAACGAGTTTTCTCGCTCCATCACTCCTCCCTATCATGTGGGTGTGGAGGATCAAGAGACGATGGCCGTTGGCCGCCGTGTCAAAGTTTACTGGCACATGGACTTCGAGGTGAGAAGACATAAAAGAAGTCAAGTTGAGAGATTTGCGTGTGTTCACCCCAGTGTTGGCAGTGGTATCCGGGCCGGATTGATTTCACGGACAACGGCAGATTTCATGTCAACTACGACGATGGCGAGAAAGTGAGTTGAGCTGAAGATTGTTTTGTAGAGAGCAAATTGATGTTCTGTCTGCTTGCAGGAGTACATCACTCTCCCTTCTGTCGACGTTTGTTTCCTCGATGACGAGGCAGACTCTGGCAAGAATAATGTAGCGATGACACGATCCACAAATTCGCAGAGTGCTGCGCTCGTTGTTCACGGCAACCATGTCAACAGCAACAACAACAGCAACAGCAACAGCAACTCAAGCAACAGCAACAGCAACAACAGCAACAGCATCATCGCAACCAACAATCATAGCAACAGCAGTCACAACAGTGCTGGCAAGTCCAAGCAGCCATCCAATTCATTGAAAATCAATCACGGGAAAGCTGAGAAGAGCGACGAGAGTTGTCCGGAGAGCATAACACCACACCCTGTCAAATGCTCATGTGAGCAATGCTTTGCCTTGAACAAGAATACAATCTACATCCCTAGAAAGCTCTTCAACGGCAAAGACACGTCGGATCATGAATTGTCTTCGGCGAACAAACACACGTCTTCGCACAGGAAGAGAACGGCAGAAGAATTGTCGACATCGAGCACGAAGAAGATCAAGAAATCGGAAGCAGAAGATGGTGCAGATGTAACTATCAAGGGAAACACTGAGAAAAAGGGTCCTCTGCGGAATTGTATTGAGATTGTAGAGCGTATGATGCAAGATCCTGAAATAAGCTGTTCCTCCCAAGACAAGAAGGACAGTAAGGAGGTAAGTTGACGATGCGTTGAAGTGTTTCCTCTCTGACGTGTGTCGGAAGGGGACCTTTCTTAAAAGTTTTCAAGCAATTGTTGAGAACTATCGATGTAATGTTGATGTTGAAGTATGTTGAATCCTAGACCTGATGCTTTATCAGCTGGAAAATATTTCACAGCAAGAGAAGTTAGGCGAGATGTTACTGAAGTCTGGCGGAGGACACTTGAGAACGACGGGGCGACTAGTGGTGAAGAAAACTTTATGATGATGATGATGATGATGATGATGATGATGATGATGATGATGATGGAGATGATGATGATGATGATGATGATGATGATGATGATGATGATAATGATGAGAATGAGGATGATGATGATGATGATGATGATGATGAGGATGAGGATGATGATGATGATGATGATGATGATGATGATGA